GTTTAATACTTTAATTTATTTGTTAATTTTTAATTTTTTATAACAAAAATATGTTTGAAATTTAATTAAACACACATTGTTGAGGAGTAAACTTCGTGCCTAAGAATTCAGACACGATGTTCTGTCGAGAAACGTTCTGCCCTGTCTGCCTGCATTTGCATTGAACTTCAACAAAAAGGAAAAACTCGTTGGTTGATTAAAGGCGAATCATGCAAAACATCCCTTAAACTTGATTATCAGTGGCAGATTAGCTCCTAAATCAAATTCAAAAGCATACCACCCCTTGTACTCTTCAACAGTGGCAAATGAGCCCTTGTCTAACGGTTGACACATTGTTCCGTCAAGAAACTAACGGAGCCTTCATTTTGTGGGTTTTAGAGTTGGGCTGACAATTGTATGGCACGTGGGATCACTTCAAAATAAATAAAAAAGTAAAAGTATAATATGCTTTCTAAATTAAATTACACATTATTCTTAATTTACAAAATGTACCACTTTTCGTATTTATTTATTTTTTATTAATTACTATTAGAATGTTCTTTAGCAGTTTCCACACACTTAAATACTAATCCTATTTGAAGTAATTTTAAATACCCTTAATTAGTTTGATATGTTTAAATAATTTAATTTTTTAAGTGTTGGTATTAAGACTTAAATTGTAAATTTAGCTTACAAAAAAACATTTATTCACTAAGAAATTCAAATTTTAAAGTTTTTAGTATATACTATTTATTTAAATCAAATTTTGTTAAAAAGAATCATATTAAAATGACTAATCATTCTAGGCATTGGACAAAAAAAAAATAATAGTAGAACTATAAAAAAAAGATTAAAAAAATGTATTTTACTACTAGAAATAGAGACTTATTCGGTCAAGCATTTTGATCAAATAAGAAGTAATTCGGTCAAATTGCTTGATCGAATTGTTGATCTAAATATCCACTGTACGAAATAAAAATTCAGACAAAATCTCATTTTAATCGAAAATGTTAAACAATTTTGGTCAAAAAATTTGACCGAAAATGTTATTAGGAAATCTTTTATTTTAGACTATTTCGGTCAAAAAATTTG